TATATATATATATATATATATATATATATATATATATATATTACTAGAGGAAATTTTGATTAAGCAGCTAACAGTCTCTTATTTCTTATTAGCTTCCTCTGTAAAGCCGGACTTCTACGAGTTGTTTTTGGGCGAAAGAGAAGAGATAGTGGTAGAAGTGAAGGTGGCAAACGTTGGCGAGTCTGCGTATGAGGCTCAACTGTTTATCGTTCACTCACAGAATTTGAACTACATCGCCAGTAAAAGCAACGATTCCGTGATCTGTAATCTGTACAACGCTACTATAGTATCGTGTTCTATTGGCAATCCATTCAAAAAGGACAAAGCGGTGGACATACAAGTGAGATTCGATCCCAAAGGCCTCGAGGATAATGAATCGCAATTGGGTTTCACAATTTTCGCAAATTCCACATCAAAGGAAGTGAAAGAGAAGCAACCCATTGTTCTGCAAGCTACAGTATTAAAACGCGCCGAACTTTCGATTAAAGGGTAATTTTTATATTTCATTATTTCAATGTCTAATCGTTCGATTTGTATAACGTATCTTCTTCACAATCTTCTCTCGCAAATCATTGAATGAAAACTAGTTGGTTCTCTCCGTTTGTCTTCAGATTCGCTGTTTTTATATTTTTCTACTAAGCGATTCTGTGTCATAATACACACCAAAAAAATATTTATTAGGTGGCTTCTAATGGCATATTTACTTAATTTTTACACATATTTATTTAGAATTAGATATTTTTATTTCAATTAAATAAAAATATCTAATTCTAAATAAATATGTGTAAAAAGTAAGTAAATAATGCTATTAGGAACAACCTAATAAATATTTTTTTGGATTAAAATATTTTTTTCTCAGTGCACACATACGGCTAAGTTACAACATTTATTAATTTGGTAAAACAAATTTAATCACATATGTGATTGACCAATTGTGTTTGCATGACACACACACACTAGGCGATGTTGTAAAAAGTTGATAAAAAATACTCTCGATGCAAATAGATACTTATATTCGCGCCAATAATAGGTTTATTCAATTAAATTAATTAATATATATTTTTATCACGTATATTAATATATCAAAATATATATTTATTCGTAGAAGTGCGAAAACCCAATGGGCGTTTTACGGTGGCCCCGTAGTCGGAGAATCCGCGATAAAACACTTGAATGAAGTAGGCCCAAAGGTGTCGCACGTTTACGAAGTATTTAATGAAGGACCATGGAAAGTCAGCACTGTGGAAGTACGGATTTCGTGGCCTTACGAGGTCGCGAATGACAAAGCGCACGGCAAGTGGCTGCTCTATATGGAAGAGATGCCAACTATCCAAGGTAGTACAAAAAAGAGAATCTGCCCCTCCAAGTTGGTGATCCTTCGTAATATGTCAAAATAGAAAATCGAATGGAAGTTGTTTGTAAGATCTGGGAATTAGAATAAATGATCGATTTATGAATTCTTCAATCCATCAAGTTAAAATTTGAAATCTCGTCATTTAGAAAAATTTTACGGAAAAGCTGTATCATTTAAAAAAATGTTTCAAGTAAAAAAGTTAATATCTTTATAGAAAAACTTTAAGGGAATAGGAATTAAGTAAAACGTCGTCTATAGCTCTTCTAATTTAAAAATAATAATAATTCTTTAAACGAGCTTAAAATATCGAATTTCTGCAGAATTTGAAAGCTCATGCATAAATAACCTGCAGCACGTGTCATCAGCCATTCGTTTTTCAATTCTGACATTTCGCTTCTAGGAATATATTGGACAAAAATTAATATATGAATATGAAATTGAAAAAGAATATATAATATAAATATATTAACACAGTATGAGAGACATACTTTATCACATAAAATTTATTGAGTATTTATGGAATTAAATTTAGTGAAAATAAAAAATATCACAAAGTATTTACGATACATCTGACGCATATTAAATGACTTAGCTCTGGGGGACGGTGAATGTATATTGCCACCAGGACATGTAGTCAATCCATTAAAACTGCAAGATAATGCCAACTTGGATGATATCGATAGCATTATACAATCTTCAACTCCATCGACAATTTTGTACAATCATACTAATCACATAAGAACAACGCGAGATACAGAAAAAGTTGTAAATACGCGAACAATTATCGACAAGGATGGACATCGGCATCGTGTCGTTGCAATGGTAAGTTATCATCACTTATGATGGTAAGTCATTATTTATTAAACTCATTAAACTCAAGGTAATAATACAATTAGAAAAATCAGGACTCTGAGACTGAACGCGGAATTTATAATAAATCCCTATACAGAATGATTCGTTGTATGTAAAGGTCATAATTCGAATGCAAAAATAAATTGGAATTGCGAAATAATTGAAATAAATATATAGTTTTATTTTTCTTTTAGTTTTACTTTCGACATTTTTCAATATTGCAAATCAATAAAAAAAAATATCAAAATATTCTTTATTATCCTTAGAATTTTGTTATTTTTAAGCTTGTAAAATCTAAAGCTTTGCTGTTTCCGCGAATTCATTCTACGTAGGACATTTCGATAATAAAGCGTTTTTTATGAAGCATTGATAGGACGATCTTACATTACAGAATTGCAAAGCTGGCACAGCAAAATGTTTCGACATCGTATGCTATATATACAACTTGCAGAGGAAACAGGAAGCCATCATAAGTGTTAAAGCAAGGTAATAACAAAAATGTAAAGTTAATTATTATTATAATTGTGTTACGCCATATCATAATTTCATTTATTAACTGTAATACGCAGGATTATTCTTAATTATATATCAAATACTTGAAGGAGTGACGTTAGAGCTTGAAACAAGCAAAATGTATCATTAACATAAGTATTTAGGCTTTTATTTCCAGGGTATAATAAATTAAAGGAAATGCTCCAACTGTTTTCGCTTTCTATTGAAAAATAGATATTATTTTATAAAAAATATATTGAAATTCGTTTTGAAATCATAACGTATTAACGCGTTAATAAATATCAAGTCATATTATCTTTCCTATAGACAATAATTGATAAGAGGTTCTTTTACAATATTAACCTTTGTTGTGCACACCTCTTCAAAATTACGTATTGTGCACAGGGGGTCTATTAGACCCCAGTCACTTAATTGTTTATTACAGACGTACACGTCGTTATTTTGACTCAAACAAAATTGCTGGCTATTGTTCAAAACTTCCAAATTAGGTCTAATAGGTTTCATTAATATCTTGCAACATAAAAGAATTATAAATGATATGTTAACTAAAGAAGCCGAAAAATGGACTTTTTTCACTAAAAAATGCATAAAAAATTCAATTTTTAATATTTGTACGTATTGTACTTATTAGAAAAACGCGTTTGAAAAAACGCTGGGGTCTATTTGACCCCTGTGTGCACAACAAAGGTTAATATTTCAATTGTATTAAACTTAACGTTGTGGAACATCTTGTGAATTTGAAGAAATGATTTCAGACTTTGGAATTCTACTTTGGTCGAAGACTATCCAAAAGTGGACATGGTTAAAATAGGTTCCAATGCTAGGATAGTAATACCTTCGAACATTGTGATACAACAAGAGAACTTGAAAGATGATTACGCAATTGTAAGCATATTTTATATACAAAAAGATATATTGAAAATGTTGAAAGCGTTACGATAAAAATTATTTAACAATGTTATCTCATATTATTATATAGGCCGAGACAATTGCTTATCCAGATTTATTGGATCAGCAAGAAGCTGAGCCTGTACCAGTGTGGATATATATAGTGGCCGCAGTAGCTGGCATGTTATTATTCATTCTACTGACATTAATATTGAGAAAACTTGGGTTCTTTAAGAGACGACGGCCAGATCCGACTCTATCTGGAAACCTCGAAAAGCACAGAGACGATAATCCTGAAAATGAAGCATTATTCAAACATTAAGCACTAAATAACCGAAATAAAAACATAAAAATGTAAGAACAAAAACGCAACAAATTGTCATGATTACTTAAGATTAAGTACTTATAGTGAAGAAAAAAAAGAAGAAAACGAAAAAGGATATTCGTTTACGCACACAATTTATTTCTAGTTTTATACTGCCTGAATTTGGAATGCATATTTTTTATGCATGAGCAGCTATAAGTATGCGAAGATTGATAAAATAGTTTGTGATATTGTTGTACTAAATATTGCGCATGTGACAAATTTTTCTCAAAAAGAATGTTCAGATTGAGTGTATGAATGTATGTATGTATGCATATACGTCGTAAATACATAACGTTTATTAGCTTTTGTTAGAGGAAAAAAAACACATCGTATTTAAACAGTTCTAAATCACGACTGTGGCTGCGTTCAACGTGACGGACGCCACAAATGCTTTGGAGCGTTCGTCTTTTCTTTCTTTCTTCATTGAAAGAAAAGAGAAGAGGAATGCTTCGAAGCATTTGTAGCGTCACGTTGACCGTAGCCTGTCCATAGTGAGGAAACTTTTGTTAGAGGAAAAAAAACACATCGTATTAAACAGTTCTAAATCACGACTGTCCACAGTGAGAAAACAAGCAACATAAGGCAATAATTCAAAAATAACTTTTAACATACATTGTATCTGAAAGATAAGACTAAATAACGATAATTAAATTCATTCTATGTTAAATAAGTTTATAGAGACATTTTTATAATTTTGTCGTGCACTAATTATAAATATAAAGAAATTGTTTTGAATGAATAAATAGATACAATATAAATATACTGGATCAAAAAATGTCCAGTGATTGTTAGGGCATTTGTAATACCTTTATTATTGTACAATAAGATTGCCATTTTATATCTAATAGAAAGTATGTAACTATTATTAGTTTATATACCTATATATATTCATATTTTACTCGTGTCATTACATAAACAAAATAACATTGACATGATACGAGGGAGATGAATTAAATATATAATAAAAATTACTTTCTTTGTTCTAACATTATATTGAAATTGAAACAATTACATACACATACACACGCGTGCGCGCACGCGAAATTTTATATTTATTTTAATTTTAAAGGCTGATTTTCTCCTACAATTTAAATTACAAGAGAATAAAATTGTTAAAATTGCAGGACATAAAACACAATGACTCATACAATCAAATATAATAGTTTAAATGCATTAATATGTATTCATCACGTAACAGAACAATTTTTTATTTCATTTTTAACTTTCACTTAAAAATATTCATCTAGCAGATAGTCTGTCGATGACCCCGGACGAATCAGGGCGTTTCCCGGGATCCCCTCTCATTGTGAAAAACGCGCCGTGTGAACACCCGTGGGGTTTTAGCCGGTAAAAACCCGGCACTCCCCTCGTCTCTCTCCCCGGAGACGAAGGGGTCTTCCCCCTCCTCGGAGGGGGCTACTGGGTAAACCGGGCTCCGGCCTGCGGGATCCCAGTAGTAGATTTCTCCGCATTAAAAAAAAAAGATAGTCTGTCGATTATTGAATTTATCTGTTGATTAGACTAAAAGGGATGCAAAATGCATTAACTCTTAAATATATTGAACAACTATTATCTGAACATATTAAATACACATACTTCGAGATATTTGGACGCCTAAATTCAGAATTCCGTTTAATTAACTACTATTCCGCGAAAATTGATCCGTATATATATAGTCTGTAAGTAAAGTAAATACTGAAATTTAATTTGTTACACTGATTTCTCATCCTTAGACTAAAATTCAACGGTCGAGTCTTCAAAACGTTTCATCCCTTTAAATACCACTGTGGATGATTGCGTAAATTCATACGTATATAGTTTTATTCACTAAATTTTATGAAAAATTTCAAATTTGCAATGTATTACAAACGTATCTATGGAATAATAAAACATAGATGTCGAGATTCTATTTATCTGATATATCACCCAAAATGGAATTTGATAATAAAACTGATTCAGGCGGATATATTATGGTAGTGGTACATAAACCGCTAAATGTTTTACTAGTACATCACCCAAAAAAAGTATTCTATTTACAAGATCGTAGATGCAAGACAAAATCCCTCTAATTGTAAAAATATTGTGCTTAGAATATTTTCCTCTTGATTTTAGAGAATTCGGCTTAAAATCCTCTATAAGATTTAGAATTTTAGAGGATTCCGCTAAAACTAAGATTATATTTTTTGGGGTGACATATAAAATTCATTACACTTATTTGCAAAAATATGTACACGAAAAAAACGGTTTTGCTGAAGTATCTAAAAATTTAGCATCTAATAATTTAAAAAATCTAAAGTATCTAATAATTTTGTTGCATTATCAAAATAATTAATTATAGTAGCTATTATAGTCGCTGAAATATGATGATAATGTTGTAAAAAAAAATTGACATTTTAGCAATCAGTTCAAGATTTCTACATAATTATTTTGATGGTCGAACAATAGTTATTTGTGTAACAAGTGCTGTAAATTGGAAATTGGACGTCCGGAGTAGACGCACGAGCCGGAGGCAAGTGCGATCACCCGCACGTCCAATTTTCAACTTAACACACGTGTTACACACCCTATTTTATATTACAAGTGCGTGGAAAGTGGCCCATTACGCGCGTGTCACGCGCGTAATGT